TTAACTATCTGGTGGGTTCATCAACGTAAGCGTACACATATTGGATGTTGAAGTCGTATTTGCATGTATTTTTACACTTAATGTATTTTACGAACATACTACCATACCAAGGTCCAAATACTCCTAAGCATAATAAAATTCTTAGGGTGCAATAGCCATTTTAAATATAGTGAGAAAAATTAACATTCTTTCAGGATGTCAAATAGATGAAATAACAATTTTAATTAAACGAACTATACAGTTTTATTTCTTTCATCCCTGAAAAATATTGAAAGTCTTAAATATATATCTTAAGAAAATATTTATTGCAATAGTATAAAAATTTGGAAAAAGACCAAAAAAAATCGGAACAAGTTTATTGCAAAAGTTCATTTTCGCAACCATAAAATGATAAAATTAGTAATTGCACCACTAAAGAAAATGATATTAACTCAATTTAACTTTATTGGGACCCCTTGTCCAAGCTCTTTTGACTCTCATATTTAATCTCCCAAAACAAGAAGTATGAGGTATATTTTCAAAGTAGTCTGTATCATCTATAGCATCAGGTTTAAAATTTGTATAAACAGTAAATATTGATAACGGTTTCCATTCCACCTCATCCGTAGTAGGGTTATTCCTTTTCCTTATTTTTGATCTTATTTCTTCCGGTTGAGATTTTCGCCTTTTCTTAAGACTATTCTCGAAAGAACTGAAGTATTTGGCTTTCAATTCAAATTCATCGTCAATCGTTTTATTGACCGAAGCTGATACGATTCTGGCCTCTCTATAACTAGTGGATGCAAGTTTCAAAGTTCCAATATAAAATATTTGATTACTATTATCCGGATATCTGAAAATTCTACCTACATCCCTCTCATCAGTTTCCTCGAAATATAATCTATCTTTGTTATTTTCAAAAATATAAGTTTTAGACTTGGTGTCTTTCACATTGGAATTCGGTGTTGGTGTTGGTGTAAGTGGATGTGGAAAAGGACTATGGGCTCTTATAGCTCCAACCGAGTCTTTTAAAGTCTGAGATTCAACCTCGGAATTAATAAAAGTATCAAATAACTCGTCATAATTTATTGCTTCTCTAAAGTCAGTAGATGTAGTGGTATGAACATCTTCAGCAAATTTACTAAACCGACAGTTTTTTTGAATTTCTTTACAATCTTGATCCCGTAAGCTGAGAACTTGTATCTTAGGACTGGTACGCAAAGGAAAGAAAGACATTGCATTGATGTGTTGAATATTAGATTCATGTCTTGCAGCTTTTTGTTGTTCATATACACTTTTAGTTTCAAGCTCATATTGTGATGCGTAATTAAAGATTGTTGGTGAGCTAATATGGTTTAATCCCGAATAAGTGACAACATTATTGTCACTACATTGGTCCATAAATTGAACTAGTTCTCCGATGTTGTACTGCAATTGACTTTCCATAATTATGTTAACACTCTTTTCACGAAAGTAACTAATGCTATTCTAATTGTTATCTTAAATAACTATATATACATTAAAGCTAGCATAAAAGCTACATCATCTATGACGTGTATATGGGGTCTTTAAGGGGCCATAAAGAGTTAATTTATTAGCAGAATATACTACATCAGAAAAATTTATCGCCATTTTAGGAACCAATGGAGGCAAAAACAAGAAAAGTTTTAGCATAAAACAATCTTTAAATAGTTTATATACATACTATTCGTGGAAAACAAATTAAAGTCTTAAGGCATGATTATGCAGCAGCCATTTTAAACTTATCTTTATCTACTATTAGAGGCCCCTAAGTCCTAAACCTTGGGACCAAAGTCAAATAATGATTCAAATGATGATTGGTTTTGAAAAGATATATGAAAAGTAAAAGGTAGATTCGCTTTCATACTGACTATATGTGTATGTGCATCTATTCCTCATATTGGTCCTATGTTGCATAGGGTTCCAAAAGAGTAGTGTATATACCGCATTAGTTCGATTATGATTCATCAAAGCATTGAGATATTCAAGGTACTAAAGCGTTCAATTGTCTCATATTAAGAATAAAGGGAGACAATGATATCCGGGAACCTTTTGAGAGGCATACATAAGCCTTTATTGAGAAAGGTTTATTCGCCAAGAATTGGATCGTTAACTTC